TTCACGGTGATAAACTTATTCGTCTAAATTCTCCCACGAAAACAAAAAAAAAATTTATTTTTCCATAATTTTCCGTTAAACTATATCTATTTATAACTTAACATTATTTTTCTAATTTTTCAAAATAGGTACAACATTGTTTTAAAATTATTACTCTTACAGGGTAATTAAAAAAAATTCCTGGTTAATTATCAATAATTTTTAGCTATAAAGTATAAAATATTTTCGTATATATAAGTGCACTGGTTATCGGACAAATTTTTCCCTTAATAATTTAAGAAAAATGCGATTTGCTAATTTTAATTATTTAATGTTGTTATGATGTACAATATCTGCGATTTTCGGCCAATTTGGATCTTAAAATTTTAAGGAATTTTTATTTTTTAAGAGTATGTTTAAATTATTATTTTGTCATTTCTGCGGGGGGGGGGTCAAGCTATTTGTTACATACAGCAAAAAATGGCGCAAATGTATATACAAAATTGTGTTACATGGGGGAGGTGGTTCAAATTTCCAAAAAAAAGCGTTACGTAATTTAAGTATGGCCCCTTATGATATTATGGTATAATATAGTTTGATTTAATTACTTGAATGAAAAAAATTGAAGTTTTAATTACTATTTTCCGAAGTAATTTTAATAAAATTTTTTATGTATTTATGTGTTTGATAAAACAGTGGAACAATTTTAGAAAAATTTTTTTGGGTTAAGACTTGACTATGATGGGAAATGAAATAAAAACAATATGAAAATATCTTGTTATATATGATAAATAAATAAATAGATAGAACATAAATAAGCAGTAGGTATTACTTTGTCAGTTTAGTAAAATAAAAAAAAGCAGTAATATTAGTTTGTCAATAGTATGAAATATAAACATGAAACGAATAACACAACACTTATTTTGTGACAGGTAAAAACTTTTTTGATACTTGTTGAAAAAACTGAAATTGGCTAACTAATTATGTTGTAAAATTAGAAGTAAAATATTATTTTAACATAAAGGTTTCTTTGGCAATACTATCTTTTTGCCCCTTGCTTCTCATTTTTATATACACTTCACATTGTACCCCTTTCAATGCTTTCGAAGATCAAAACATGAAATATTTAGCGGTATATACTTAGTTAATAAAAGGCTTAGAAAAATCGAATAATTTGCTCCAAAACATTAACTGAAAGTGATTTTTTAAGCATATAGTTTGTTATGAAATTTGTTTATTAAAATAAAAACTACAATTTTACTCAAGGAAGTAAGAAGCTATTGTCAAAAATGCACGATTTACTGGCCAAACACTGATTAGAGCGATTTTTCAAAAAAAAACGCTGAATTATCAAAACTTAAAATTGCAATAAAAACCAAACGGCCGCTAACTTTTCAAAACCCTTTGGGGATTTTACTCTGCTGGGGTAGTATGTACTTTCATCCCATCATAGTCAAATCTTAATCCAATTTTTAATATTCCACTGTGTAATCAAACAATAACCTCCAAGTGTTTCAAAAATTTTTACGTTTCGGATAAGTGGAACACGATAACTAGATTATTTATTAAATTTAATTAAAAAAAAAAAAAATTACTCTAAAATGTCAAAAAAAAGTTTAATAATCTAAAATTTTTTTGTTCGCGAATATACTAGACTTTCATTCATCCTTATTGTTTTTTAATATCAATATTTTCAAATCGACGTCAAAATATGATGCAAAATAAATATTTACAATCTATCAACATGAAAATATTGCAGTTCAAAAATAAGGTTATACATATTGCCATAGTGACTTTTTATATACTTATGTAACCAAAAATATAGGATTTTTATAGCTTTAAAAATTACTTTAAACAAAACATAAAAAAAAATAAAACATTTTAATATCTCATAATTACAACTTCTTTTCGACAATTATTTAATAAAATTTTATACATTTACCTCGGAATTTGAATTTTAAATATAAGTTGAACGTAAGAATGGTTAATTTGACAGCTGTATAAAAATTAATTTAAAAATCATAGAAATAATTTAGATATATAGGTAATGTAAATTTTTTATAATTTTTCAAAATAGTCTAATTCATTTTTACTAATTGATTTTATTGTATAAATATAATCAAAATATTAGGTGAAAATTAATTTTTAAACTTACCTTGTGAAAATGTCAAAATTTAACACTCTTCATTATAGAAATATGAAAAAAATTTACCATAATGTTGTGATTTTGAAAATTTCCGCTGAATATGAAAACTAATATTTTTATTTTTCACCTCCAATTATAATTTTTCATCTAAACATTTCTTTGCGCAATGTTCCTTTATTAATAATTTTAAAAAAGTGATCAGCAAAAAATTAATTATTATTTTTTTAATGAAAATTATTCTTTTTTTTCAGTCGTTGATCATAAACATTGTGAATTTCGCAAATTTCACCTAAGTGTTAAGGACCGAGATACTGTTTATATATTTTTTCGTATTTTTAAAATCTGGTACAAAAAACAAATACCTCCCTGAAGTTGGCTTCGACGCTCAGCGCCGAAAATTGTTTTTCGCAGAATCAAAAATTTCAAATTATTTTTTTTTTAATTTTTTAATTCAAATAATATCTTGAAAAATACTTCTCAAGGCATTGTGTGGACCAAAAACCTTTTTAAAAAATGTTTTGATATTTTTGATTTTGAGAAAAACAATTTTCGGCGCTTAGCGTCGAAGCCAACTTCAGGGAGGTAAACAAATTTAAAAGTTAAAATGCAATTAATTTTGAAAATTGAACTTTGCTTTCTGATTATTAATTAAAAAATTTTCTAATTTCAATTAACTTCAGATTTCTAAAATTATACTTGAATTTTAAACTTTAAATTCGTTTTTTGAATCCGATTTTTTTTTAAAATGTCATCAACGTAAAAAGTCAGACTGAAAAAAATGTATTTAAAAAAATTATTTATAAAAATTTATTCTTTATGACAATTTGCGGTTACTTAACCTGTTAATAAAATTTTACTTTTTTTATTAACACGAATTAAAGAATAAAACACGAAAATAATTTTTTTATTTATTACAAATAAAAAGTTTTATACTTTTATGTGCATTTTTATTTATTGTGAATAATATTTTAAGCTACATTTTAACGTGTATTTAATATTAATATATCAATATTTTATTGAATTACATTTTTTTTTCTTTTTAATTTGTCGAGTATTTTTGTTATGGCAGAATAAAGATAGAATAATAAACTCTAAAAACCATACATCAATAAAATGTTCAATTTATAATGGTAAAAAATTTTAACATAGTAAAAGGTCAAAATGTAAACAATCGTCAAATTGGATTATCGAGTATGAACAGTGGAAACTAAATGGATTTCGAAAAATGAATGCGGAAAGCATTTTATATACAAAAAAAAGAAGAATTTAATTCATTTTGACACTTATTTTTAAAATGTTTTTTATGTGAAAAAAAAATTTTTAATACTGATGAAAATAAAATTGTCGGATATAACAAAGATGAGAGTTTTTGTTGAAATTCAAAGAAAACTGTATACTTAAAAGATTTTTATTTAAATTCTTTGTTTTTTCTTAAAGACACTTTATTTCTCATGTACATATTAAATTTTTCATATTCTCAAGTAGGTATATATATATTTTGAAGGGACATTCTGTAAACAAAATTAAAATAACTACTTGTGTGTGTTCTCATTTTAACTTTTTATATCAGAATATAAGTTGAATATAAAAATTGAATTTGTATTTTAAAAATTATTATGTTTTTAAAAAATTTATATTTGTGAGCAAAAATATTGTTTATTTTCTGTGATTTATTATTAATATAAAAAATTGATCTTAATATTGAGAGGACAAATTTTTATTCTGAGAATTTCTCTTTTTATTGAAAATAAAAAAAATTCAATGTAGAATATTTAATTGGTTTTTTTAAAAGAAAGAATATCAAAAGGAGATTACTTCAACGTTTTCCTCTTCGATTCAGAGGATTTAAATAAATGACATTTATTTATTGTGACAGTAAGAAATATTATATATAATGTATAAAAGAAGAAAAAAATACTTCCTCTTCAATTAAAAGTTTTCGTTTAGTATTAAGAGGATTGAAATGTAGATACGGTATTTTTATAATCGAACAGAATAGTGTAAAATGAAATGCTATTTATGATAGATCATGAGATATAAAATGAAGTGAGAAAAGAAGTAGTATTGATTATAAAATACAATAAGAATTATACGATGAAAGAAATTGAAAATCGAAGCGTGTGTGTGTCTGTTTCCATATTATACACTCAGAGAAAATATTAATTTGACTTAACCAAATAGTTTAATTACCCTATTTTGTTTCACACAATTAATAAGTTTAGTTAACTGAGATAAAAATTTGATTCATTCCAATAAATGCATAAAATTCATTTAATTAACAGAAACAAAATTTTTATTTAAAGTTGTTTGTTCCATTTAACCAAAGCACTGTCTGATTAAACGTATTTTTTACTTAAAAATAATTTGGTTCAAACAATGAAAAAATTTGTTTCATTTAACTAAAATTATTTGGTTATTTCCAATAAATGCGTATACGCATGCGTGTGTAATCGACGCAGAAGGACAGCGCGCAGTCTTTCTGATCAGTTGCGTACACGCTTAAAACTCGATCTCTTAAATCGCCAAATTTTATTTCATAATTTTGTTCCAACTTATTTTGTAATTTATAATTTGTTATAAATTAATTTAAAAATGTATATTAAATATTACATTATGACATTCGAGCAAAATAAATAATTAACTTAACCAAAAAATGTATTTATATGAACCAAATACGCTCGATGATAAAATAATTTATATGAATCAAAGAAATTTTTTAAATTGTAAAGAACAAACTTTTTGTTTTGATTAAGATGTCAAATGCAATAAATCATTTGGTTCATTGAAATAAAAGTATTTAGTTATGAATCAATCAAACTTTTGTTTAATTGTATAGAAATGCATTTATTTAGTTGAATCAACGAAAATTTGGTTGTTTGAAACAAAATTTTTCTCTGAATGATAAGTATATATATATATATGTATATTGTTCAGTGAATATTGTCCTAGTGAGCGGCGACGATTAGCGTGAGCGAGGACTCAGTATTGGGTGGCACTCGGACGTTAAAGCTGCTTCTGGAATTTCCGAGAGTATACGGTTCGTCGCAGACCACAGCATAGCTGCCCCTTTCATTGAATACACTCAAATGGTGTATAATCCCTGCATTAATACATACAAACAAATTTATATATACATACAGAATATATATCATATTTGCACATTGTGTATACACAAAGCAATTCAAACATATTGCCCACGTATTTACTCATGTGTGTATCGTTTTCAATCAAATATTCATCACTTCCCAAAAGTTCTTGATTCACTGAGATTTAAGCGCATATATACGAAAACAATCAAATATGCCGCAAACTTTTTTTTTACAACAACAATGATAAAAAACAATACAAATTTACTGTGCTCGCGAGATAAAAAATTTTTTTTTTCACTCCATTAAAATTTCATATCTAAAAAAATATTCTTACTCTTAAAATAAGAATATATTCTTAGTCGAGATTCTTAGTACATGGGCAATTTTATATTAAATTTACCTATGACCTTTTAAATTTGGATAAATATATTTTTTTCTCGTTCTTTACAGAAAAAAATGATATTTATATTTTCTTTATATTTTTTTTTATAAATGCCAAAAAATGTTTAATTCTGGATTTTTAAAAATCTGTGTTTTTCGAGGATTTTTTTTAACTCCTTCACAGTAAACTTGGTTGTATCTTTTTCTATTGCAACGTTTTGATGCACATAAGTTATATCAAAAAGAGATATGTATCATTTTTAGAAATTAATGATACACGAAACGGTCTCATTTTTTGATGCAAAAAATTTAATCAATTTATATGAATCATGGCCGAATTGAATCGACTCAAAATTAAAGGAATTTTTTTCAGATATTTTGGTAATAGTACAATTGCGGAGACCATTTCACTATTTAATTTGAAAATGAAAATAACAGAAAATCAAAGACAATGTGCAATTCGATAATTAAAAAGTGACAGCTTATAAACATAACCTAAAATGCATGAGAAAAAATTTGTCGATAAAATCAATATAGCCGAGCTTTTTAGAAGGTAGGTGGCAGCACTCATCTATTTTCTTTCTTTAAATTTTTTCTGAATCGTTTTTATAAAAATCAAAACTGCCATCTACCTTCTAAAAAGCTCGGCTATATTGATTTTATCGACAAATGTTTTCTCATGCATTTTAGGTTATGTTTATAAGCTGTCACTTTTTAATTATCGAATTGCACATTTTGTCTTTGATTTTCTGTTATTTTCATTTTCAAATTAAATAGTGAAATGGTCTCCGCAATTGTACTATTACCAAAATATCTGAAAAAAATTCGTTTAATTTTGAGTCGATTCAATTCGGCCATGATTGATATAAATTGATTAAATTTTTTGCATAAAAAAATGAGACCGTTTCGTGTATCATTTCTAAAAATGATAGACAAAACAATCTCTTTTTGATATAACTTATGTGCATCAAAACGTTGCAAAGATTTGATACAATTTTTGGTCTCAATTTGATACTTTTAGGAAAACTGTGTTCGCAATTTAGTAGAAGAATTGTTTTTGGGCCCAAAACAGTAAAAAAAAAAGTTTCTCAAAAAAAATATAATTTCATGGCGTATTAAAAAAATAAAAAATTTTTAAATTTGACTTATTTCTCTAAAAATATTAACACGGGAGTTAACCCAATAAGGGCATAAAAGAAAAAATTGCAATTTTTGTACCATAATTGACGGTACTTTCTAAATCTGAATTAGTACACGGAGAGAAAAATCTGCCTTTTATAGTATGAAATAGATTGCTGCTATTTTTCTGTAAACTTTTCATACTAATAGAGCAAAGATTTGAGAATTTTTAGTATAGTATTTGTCCGTACTAAAAAAGCATAGTATATATGCTTCTATAGTACAAAACATGTAGTTTAATAGCAACAACGCCATGCGAAGATCGCACATAACATCATCCTACTATGTTTGCATAAGTTCTATGCTTTTTCGGGGATAGACTCTTGCAACTGGCGATTAGGCCACGCCCACCTTTACTTAATTGGAACTGCCCTAATCGCCAGTTGCAAGAGTCTATCCCCGAAAAAGCATAGAACTTATGCAAACATAGTAGGATGATGTTATGTGCGATCTTCGCATGGCGCCGTTGGATTAAAAGTATAATAAGTATGTAATAAGAGGCTATATGACAAACTTTATTAGCATAGACAAGTTTCATGCTAAAAAGACATACGATTGTACTATAATTACTCAAATTTCATGTCTATATAGCATAGAAAATTTCTGTGCATTAAATGTAAACCTTTCTATACTATAAAAGGCAGATTTTTCTCTCCGTGTAGTTTTCTACTAATGAAAGAGAGCGTATTCGTTTACCAATTGAATTAGTAACAGTTTTGACTAATTTTCAGTAAAAAACTCCTAATTCATAGAGAGTAAATCGGCTTACTAATTTGAAAAAGGAAAAAATACGACTTACTAATGAATATTAGTAGTTTCCTACTAGCAATTAGTAGTTTTTTACTAAAAATTAGTCAAAACTGTTACTAGATCAATTGGTAAATGAATAATGAAACTGAAGTTATCAATGTTGATTCAACGAAAAAATAGAATTTAAGGATTCTAATTCCCATCAATGAAATTTGATTATTTTCAACCCTCTAAAACCTGAAATAAAAAAAAGCAATATTTATCATTGTTTTGTCCCGGATTTTCCGAAAATCCCGAAATTTCAAGAAAATTACTATTTCCTCGCTTCGGAAGTAATTTTTCTCGTTTAATAAATATTTATTTCAATGCTAGAAGCCTTTTAAAAAACAGAAAAATTGCTTCCAAGTCGGCGAAAGCAGTGATTTTGATTTTTTTGTCACGGATTTTCCGAAAATCTCGAAATTTCAAGTAAATTGCTATTTCCTCGCTTCGGAAGCAATATTTCTTGTTTGATAATTATTTATTTCAATGCTAGAAGCTTTTTAGAAAAAAGAAAATTTGCTTCCAAGTCGGGGAAATAGAAATTTTTTTGAAATTTCGGGATTTTCAGAAATTTTATGAGAAAAAAATCAAAATCACTGTTTTCCCCGATTTGGAAGCAATTGTTCTGTTTTTTAAAAGGCTTCTAGCATTAAAACAAATAATTATCAAACGAGAAAACTTGCTTCCGAGTCGAGGAAATATATCAAAATTACTTGAAATTTCGAAATTTTCGGAAAATCCGGGACAAAACAACGATAAAGATTGTTTTTTTTTATTTCAGGTTTTAGAGGGTTGAAAATAATCAAATTTCATTGATGGGAATTAGAATCCTTAAATTTTATTTTTTCGTTGAATCAACGTTGGTAACTTCAGTTTCATAACGAATACGCATTCTTTTATTGGTAGAAAACTACTAATTCAGATTTAAAGAGTAGTAAAATATAATATAACTTCAATAATTCACGGAGAAAAATAAAATTTGAAAATTCTCAATTCAGTCCTAGTAATGAGGAAGAGTCCTAAAGTTTTATATTTACAAGTAGAAAACTTTTGGACTGAATCCCAAACAGTTTTAGAATACTTGATCAAATTTCATCCTGGATTCGCATTCGTAGAGTTTTAGGACTCGATACAAATACCTAGTGCTGAATATTTAAATTGTAATACAGAATTCTAAAAATCATTTATTTATTCGCCTTAAAAATATCTGGTGTTTAGTACTACTTCTGAAAATTCGTTTTTTCTCCGTGAATCAATATGAATATATCAAGAATTTCAGTTTCATGAATTATCGGAATTATTCGGAAATTAAACTTTGATTAATGCCATCTGTATTTACGACTATAGTTTAGCATGTGATTTATTGAATCTTTAGTGATAGTTTAATAATAATAGCAATAATAATAATAATAATAATAAACGTACGAATAGTTTGCGAAATTAGCGTATAAATATATATATGGTGATTATTCAAAATCTCTCTCAATTGAAATGTAAACTTTCCTATTATTATGGAACTAATTACAGAAATGCTGTTATCGTAATGCAAATTAATTTTTTTTTCTATATCAATAAATAAGTATAAATATGAGAGTTTGCAAAATTTGTCAATAGCATTTTCATGAATTAAATATAAATATTAAACGTTATAAAACAAATTTTCAATTTCAACATATTTTTCATAAAGTAAACTGGACATTTTCGTGTTCGACACACACAGAGACACATACACTTTGCAAAATATTAAATTGCTATTTACAATGTCCATAAAAAAATTGAAAAAAAACTCAGAAATAAAATATTCAAAATCACGAAAAAAGCGTATAAAAAATTTGACAAAAGAAGAAGATGAATTTTAATAGAATTTTAATTTTTCCATAGATTCGAGTTATATTTTAAAAATTAACTTTTTTTTCTTAATTTTTTTAAATTATATTATATTTTTAAATACTATATATTTTCAAGAAGAAATTTAATACCCTCTAAACAACAATTCATTTCGTTGAGTTGAAATTTTGTCGTTCCATCCACTTAATAATTTTTATTCTCTCATATAACTAAAGTAAGATATTAAATTAAGATTATTTTTTTACTTCCTCAAAAAAAAATTTTCATTTAAAAATTATTTTTTACTTTAAGAATATTTTATTTCTACACTTTAAGAATAAAAATGCATAAAAAATATTCTTCAAATATATAAGAGCCAAGACGCATATTCGTAAAATTAGAATAAAATTTTTTCTGTCTAATAATCATATATATGTTAAGCAGAAAAAAAAGAAAAATGAAGAAAGAAATAGATATATAGAATCGAACAATATGTCGAGAAAATAAATAGGTATTTTTATTAATGAACAAACAAACAAGATCGTATTCATAAAAAAAAACCCCTTGGTACAAGCATCAAGAAAAAGAAACGAAGGTGAAGCTCCTTTACGAGTTCTCTATACAACCATGAAAAATATTGGAAAAAGCTTGAAACGTACTTTATTGGATTTCAGAATATCTATACTTATAAGGTTATCACTTTACAGTAAAATTTTTAGAGAAAAGAAAGAAAATTTATTTTCTGTTAATAATTCAATTACCTCGAATATAATCCAAAATAGCTAGTAAGTTTTTTTTTAAAAATGTCAATTTTTTTTTTTTTTTTTGACAAATTTCGACAATTTTTATCATGAAAATTTTGATATAGGAATATTTTCTTAATAATTTTTTCAACATTATTCGCAAATAACATTTTCATGACACATTTACTTAAATATCCGTCATAATATGTAATATGATAAAAAGAAATTTTATGAATAAAATCATTGCGATGTCTTTTTATGATCCATTAAAATATCTTTCATCTTATGGTTCAAGTTTCTTTCTTGTGTTAAGGAATTTTATAAAAAAAAAAAGAAAGTGTTGATTGGTGAAAATTATTTTTTGCATATATACATATATATATATGTGACGACTTCATAAAATTTGACGTTTCGGAAAAATTATTTTTTATAAAAAAAAGTTTATATATATTGACCCAAGTGCGAAAATCAACACGGCCCAATATCGGCCCAGTATTGGCAACGATGGCGCCGAGTGTTGGCAGCAAGACTGGGCCGATAACTGGGCCGACTCTTGGATGTTTACCACGGCTGGACGTCGGCGGCCGACAATCGGCTGCCATTATTGACCTAATATTGGTGCCGATTCTTGGTCGAATGTTAGTTTTTGAGTGTCGGCCGACATTCGGCAGCCAAATCTCGGCAGACATTAATGGCTCGATCTTGGCGACTAATAATGGGACAATATCGGCTCAATTATTTTCAATGAAATAAATTATTAATTTTTAATAGTTAATTAAAATAATAAAAATACGAAAAAATTAAGTAAAATACGTTTTATTTTTTTTATCTTTTTGAAGGTACAATAAGGAGCTTACAATGAGCTTATTAAAGTTAACGCAATGTTTCAGGTTCTTCTGCGTCATTTTGGCCATTTTGGTCCAATTTGCAATTTTCTGCAAAGTTTTTTTCTGCCTCCTTCATCTCGTCAGAATCGTAAACTGACAGAGAATCGTCACTAAAATTGATTAAAATTGACCATTTTTAATTAATAAACTGAATTTTTTTAAAGTTAATATATTTGAGTTATTTAAAGGAAAAAAAAGAAAAAATAGACAAAATAATTTTTCAATTGACTTTTTTAAGAATAATCTCAAGAAATTAAATTATATTATAAATTTATTAAACATTTACCTCTGAGAAGCTACAATGGGCAACACAAAATTATCAACATCAACTGCAGATGGAACAGGTGGTGAATCTGATTTTTCTGGCAAAGGGAGATTCTCTGACAAACACACTTTTCCCATATTTCGATCCGATCTGGAAAAAATTATTTCTTATTGTAAGATACACATATATAATTGTAAAATTCATAAGATAAAAATAATTATTTTTATATTGTATATAATATAACTTACTCATATTGTGGAATTAAATTATTGTCCATTGTTGAACATGCTGACTCCGAACTGACAAAATCCGAAGTCGATCCACTTAGAGACAAGTTCATCAATTTATCTGGCGGCTCGAATTCATCACTGCTATCTTTCTTGAGTAATCGTTTTAAGGCCCGATACTTCACTGACTTGTAACTGGTCATTTTTTTGGTATATATTAATTACTTATAAAAAGTAAATTACTCGGCAAACAACAGTTTTAGGTTATGTGTTACAGTTTCAGGTTACGTAAACACATGCGCATGTCTTGTAGCACTCGTAAACAACGATAAACACTTGGCAGATTTTTTTTGCCATTATTGGCCCGAACTACGTCGCACTACTGGCAATTATAATTCGCCATTATATACATCGACCCTTGAATAGTAGAAAATCAGTGCCAATGCTGAGCCAGTATTCGGCCGAGACACGTCGCGATATTGGCAATGCTTATTTGCCATTATAAATTCTAAAATAATTAATTATCGGTGCCAATATTATCCCAGTAATGGGCCGAGATTTGCCTCGTTATTAGCGATGTTAATTTGCCATTATTGGTTCATTATTTGGCCCGTTAATGTACCATTATTGGGCCAAAAACTCCGGCTAGTCACAGCAAATTAGAAATAGTGAGCATCAGTGCCAATGTTGAGCCAGTGATCGGCCGAGACACGTAGCGATATTGGCAATGCTAATTTGCCATTATAAATCCTTGAATAATTAAGGATCGGTGCCAATGCTTAGCCAGTGATCGGCCGAGACACGTCGCGATTTTGGCAATGCTAATTTGCCATTATAAATCCTTGAATAATTAAGGATCGGTGCCAATGCTGAGCCAGTGATCGGCCGAGACACGTCGCGATTTTGGCAATGCTAATTTGCCATTATAAATCCTTGAATAATTAAGGATCGGTGCCAATGCTTAGCCAGTGATCGGCCGAGACACGTCGCGATATTGGCAATTCTTATTTTGCCATTATAAATTCTATAATAATTTATTATCGGTGCCAATATTATCCCAGTAATGGGCCGAGATTCGTCTCGTTATTAGCGATGTCAATTTGCCATTACTGGTTCATTATTTGGCCCGTTAATGTGCCATTATTGGGCCAAAACTCCGGCCAGTATCAGCAAATTAGAAATAGTGAGCATCAGTGCCAATGTTGGCCCAGTAATCGGACGAGACACGTCTCGTTACCGGTAATTTTAATTTGCCATTATTGGCTCCTTACTTGGGTCGTTAATGCGCCATTATTGAGCCAAGATTTGGGCCAGTCTCGTCAAATAAAAAAAAAGAACATCGGCACCAGTAAAGGCACAGTAATGGGACGAATTTAAACTCCAATATTGGCCCAGTAATGTTAGCCGAAATACGGCTGACATTACTGGCCCAATATTGGACCGTATTGGCAGTCCTGGCAATTCGCACTTGGGGAGTCAAATTTACTCAGAAGTGTTTTTTACTTCGTGTATTATAAAGAAAAATGTCAAAATTATGGTTAAACTAGGACAAATGTACTAATTACGGCGCGATTTCAGTCAAAATACCTTTGAAATAAAAAATTCGACGTTTCTATTGCATAAAGTCAATTGAAGACTCATTAAACTAAAATTAAAACTAATATCGTAAATTTCTATTATGGCGCGTTTGTATCAGTTTCGGTGACCAAAATTACGTGTATTTTGAAGATACTTTGCCCGCCGTAATTGAAGCCAATGGAAATCTTAAAAATGTTTCAATTACGGCGACGGAAAAAATTTGATCTCAAATAATTAAATTAATAATAATTGTTTAAATGTGCATCTTTATAAGTAATTGTATCAAAAAAAGATTAAAAGAATTTTTTTTTATTATTTTGCAACAGTTATAACTTATATTAAATGTAATAATAGTAATAATAGTTATTTTTTATCAACGCGCCGTAATTGATACACTAGCCGTAATTGGTACACTTACCCTATAAAAATATTTTTTAAAAAATTCAAAAAAATTATTTTTTCTTAAAGAAAACTTTTTTTTAAATCATTATAAAAAATTTGAGAAAAATGAAAACAACATACCATTGTTAACATTCAGTGATATTGTACTTCTGTAAACTCGTTTGGTTGGATTGGATACTTGGACCGTACGACGAAAAACAGTTTCGTCTGCACGCCTCAATCCGATAATCAAATCACCGATGAATCCTGTTTCTCGTTCATCTGAACCGGCCACCCTTGGCTAAAAAAGTAGAAAAATGCAACAAAAAACATTGCTTCAGGCACTTTCATCTTAGGGAAATAAATTTTATTATTGCGAAATTTTTTCAAATATTTTCCCCAAACGATAAAAATGCAAAATTTACCATTTTTTTCCTCAAATAACTTACGTGCTTTATTAGTTTTTTTTTTTTTTTTTTTTTTTTGTTTTTTGCTGTAACTTAACTAAATTTGAATTAAATTATACATCAATTTTCATTTCATTTTTTTTATCGTTTCAATCATCCGAAAGTTATTCAGACAAGATAATATTATCTCAATAAAATACGATAATAATATTTCAAGATAATTACATTATTATTTGGATAAAATAATCAAGATAAAATTATTTAACTATGCTATAAAGAAGATTATATTATCTGGATAAGATAATCTAGAAAATAGTATCTAGATAATCAAATCTAGATAATATTATTTTATCTGGATTGAATAGTTGTTTTATGGTCATCTTATCAAGATAATAATATATAATCTATGGCAGGATATGATAATTTAGACAATATTATCTAGAACAAGATAAGATAATCTAGTTAATATTATCTACAACAAAATAAGATAATCTTGGTCTTAATAAATACAACAAGATAAAATAATCTAGATAATATTATATAAAAAATAAGATAATCTAGATAATATTATATCTACAATAAGATAAAAGAATCTAGATAATAATTTCTTAATATGATAATCGAAATACAACTATTTAGTATAGATGAAATAATCTCATCTTTTTTGTATAGATATACTTTGACAGCTTATAATAACTCGTGGGGGTGAATTAATTAAAATTAAAAGTCTACTTGCAAAAGCAATATATGACATGTCTTCTGGTATACGCAGAATTTTAATTAAACCTTCTTGCACAAGTCAATGAAGTCTTTCGTATATAATACATATATATATATTATAAGTTTGACTGCAATGAAACTCACTTTCCGAGGATGAATTCTATTTTATCCTTAGTCATGATGTGCTTGGTGAATACTAATTTTAAACCAAGTTTAGTGTCTGAATACAAATGGAAAAAAAATTGGAATCTTTCCCTATATATATATATACTATAAGCAGATAAGGATCCCTAAAATTCATATGTACATAAATATAACAAAAACTGGGAAATTACTATATAATAAGTTTCAAACAAAACGATGGTCAATATTATAAACCCCAATGTTTAATCTAACTTTTTGATTTATTCATTTAAATGATAACTCAATTTTTTGTTAGCTCACTGACTTTACTATGTAAAAATGGTAGGTGTTCACTTTTTCTAAAAAATATTTTCTAATCCTTCTTTTCTAAAAATTTTTAATAATTTAAAAAATTTTTTTTTTATTTAAATCACTTTTTCTATCGCCTATTGTACTGCATTATACAAAAAAGGAAACAAAACTCACAAAAGATTTTAATGATATAATTACAATTATACGCAAAATTTACATTTAATGATACTCTTTTTTATCGTCGTTAAAATGTTCTCTTACCTTAAAATTTTTTGTTCTAAATTTTCAAAATTTCATTTTAATACAAAATAAACTGTTTTTTTTTTAACTTTATGAAAAGCTTTGTTATAAATTTAAAAATTCATCATTAAAAAATTAGAAAAAGAATAAGTTAAAAGTAAATATATAGCGGCAGAAACCATTAAAAGTTTCTTTCAGGTACATACCTGTCTTTGAACCACGATAATTCAATTAAAAAGAAAAATAGAGTTTTAAACTAAGTAAAACCATATAATAACTCAATTGAGAAAAAAATAATTAGAAGATAGAGGTTTACAAGAAATTCCATTGAAAAGCTTATAGAATTCTATACATCTTATTACATAATAAAGTTTAAAATTTTATTTTTTTAAATATCTTTGCAAGTGGTTATATATCACTTTACAACTGAATAATAATAAATAATTTATTATCATCAGTAATTAATTATTGTTTATTATTACGTAATTGAAGAAATTTTTGAAGTCTTATAAGGAGAATTCTACGTAAAGCGTTCAACCCCGATTTTTGTTTGTTTTTCCATATTACTTTTAAATATTACAATTTTATTTAAAAAGTACATTAAATCGAGGAAAATATAGATGTGGATTTTATAGTAAATTTAATGTGCTTTGACATCGCAGTATTAATTTTGAAATTTAGATTAATTTTAACTTTAAAAATTTGAAAAACAAATTTTGAATCAATTTTTAATATATACTTCGACTTTTTTTTAAAATATTTAAAATATATTTTAAAATATCGTAAAAGATAGTTTAAATTCTTTATAGATTCTGTATTACTAAATTGTTGAATGGCATGTTTAATAGTTTAAAAGTTATTTAATCTATAAAAAAAAGTACATGTCGAATTGGGGTTAAAAGTTTACGTCGCTAATGACGAATTTTTTAAATTCCATATGATTGATAGTTTCATGAAAAAAGAGTAAAAAAAAATTGTCAGTTAAAAATAATAAAAATTACAAGGAAAAATCAAATTTTAATTTTTCAATAATTTCGAGTTATATTTAAAAAAATTTAAAGTACAATAATATTAAAAAAATTTTAATATTTTAATTTTAAATACTCAATATTGTCGGTAAATAATTTGACACTTCTGTACTCTCTAAATCTGAATTAGTAACTTACTTTTTGCTTTAGAATTAGTTAAATTTTACTAACAATTAGTAAAATTTAACTAATTCTAAAGCAAAAAGTGAGTCACTAATTTAAATTAGTAAACATTTTTACAAATTCAGATTTAGAGAGTAAAGAGCATAAATTTTGATTTAAAATTTTACTGATCCCTCTCCCTAAGGGCAAGTCAAAGTCGATGCGATTTTCCCATTAAAGATCTATGTAAAAATTGCATCGACTTTGACCTACCCTTAACAAAATTTCAGTTATCTACCCTTAAGAAAATCTAAAACTGAAAAAGTTTGATAACTATTTTTTTTGTTTAGTTTTGTTAAAATTGGATCTTTTCATTTGAAAGTTAAAAGACAATTATACCAAAAGAGAAAAAAGAAAGAGAGAGAGAGAATAAAAGTGCAAAAATTTACCAATTCTGAAGGTGAGATGATGTCCTTATCCGTAAGATCAACGTGGATTAAACCTCGTTTTTCAGTTTCCTCGGCAGCACTGAATGCGATAAATAAAAAGAGAACTTTTAACAGATTGAGAATCATGTTTGACAGTAAAAGAGTGTCTTGAATTCAGGAGGATAAATAGAGTTAAGGATCCGGATGAGTACGATCGTGTGATCGTCCGCAGGTACGTTGGGGGCTTTTTAATAGTGTCCGCGAAGGTCTGCTCTTGAGATACGACTTATCTATAGTGGTACCTTATATTCTCTCTCTTTCTCTTTCACTTTCTTGATCTCTCTCTCTCTCTCCCTCCCTTTTTCTCTTCTCCGATTTGTCGTCCCCCTATCGTTGTAACTTGCCTTTCTGCAAGGAATACGAATGAGGTAAGAGCCGGTTGGACAAACGAGGAGTTCAACTCGAGCACGTTCGTTGACTATCTTATGCTTGATAGCAGCTTTTTCGTCCAGAACTCCAGGTATTAAAACCTTCCTTCCAATGGCCACGTACCTTTAGACAACTACTTTAGAAATGCACTTTGTCCCCCATAATAGGTTCTTATAATTGTAACAAAAAAAGAAAATGCAACTTTGTTTCATTCTTAGAAATACCAACTATTGAGAAGAAATAAAACACTTACTTTTATGACATTAGTACTCTCTAAATTTGAATTAGTGAGGAATTGTTCACTAATTCAAATATTATAGTAGATATTTCCACTAATTTTTGCTAAAATATTAATGTAATTTTTTTAAAAGTTTTAGTGATTATTAAAAATTAGTACAAATTGTCACTAATTAGTGAATAACAAATTTATTGAAATTTAGAGAGTAGGTGTACCTAGTATTTTCTCATATTTTATCATCAGAAACAACAAAAATATTAATGAATTTCGAAAAATATATAATAATAAATTGTTTTTTTAATCTGTTACAGGTGAGTTTTTTTTACATAATTTACAAGTTTACAACACAGAAACCAGAGGAATATGCAGTGAGTACATAATATAAACTATTTATATCTAAAATGAGATAACTTTCAGTGTTTTGTGGTTATAGAAGGTCGAAAGATACCCTCATGTTATGAAACTTTGTTGTATCCAACAATTACTCGTTAATACATAGTTTCTTGCTCCAATATAGCAGTGCTTATAATTTACTTTTTAAACTTCCGAAATTTTTTACATTCTCATATATCATAATGAGAATCTATTAGATTTTTTTTCGAAAATATATTTTCCTACACATTTTTCGTAGTCAGTACTTTTTAAATCAGTGCTATCTAATTACGGAACCGGTTCAGGAAAAAAAATTAAACCATTATTGAAGAAATTTTAAACAAGTATAAAAAATTTATTGAACTAATAGTAGAAAATTAATGAACTGGTATTGAGGAACTAATGTAACAATAACATGCAATTCCTGAATCAGAATCGAAAAAATTTATTGAACCAATACTAAGTAAATATTGAAAGAGTAACGAAAAATTTGTAAAGAAATAGCGTAAACTTTTATGAACTAGTATTTTTTACTAAAGAAGTACCTTACAGAACTATTAACTTACGGAACAAGTACTGTACTACTACTAAACCAGTTTTTGTCAATTATTGGACCAGTAGTGGACAATTATTAGTAGAAGTTTAATCAACTGTTCCGAAAAATTACTAAACTAGTACTGTTCTATTATTAAACCAGTTTTCAGGCAATTACTGTGCCAGTAATGGAAAATTACTAGGTAAGTACCTTCGATTTAATAAACTAGTTCCGCAAAATTACTGTGTACTGTACTACTTCTAAAGCCGTTTTAAGTAATTACTAAAGCAGTAGTAGATCATGGTTAGGCTACTACCGGGTCTTTAATAAACCAGTTCCGAAAAAATACCGAACTTGTACTGTACTACTAAAGCACTTACAGCAATTACTGAACCAGTTATACTAATGGTTTAGTAATTCCTGCTAAAGTATTTTTACTAAAGTAGTAGCGGAAATTTAAGGAACTAGTTCCGGAAAATTGCTGAACTAACAAGGTACAGCTAAATTAATTAACCAGTTATGGAGAGTCACAATTACACACTAAAAAATAATATTTACTTTCAGTTCACTTTTGACTAAAAACCGTTAACATTAGAACCATTTTTACTGAAATTCAGCCTTTAGTGAATGATTTTCAGTCCCAAAATTGATTTAATCTAGTTTTAAGATAAAAATTACGCTAGTTTTCAGGTATTTTGATTTTAAGATGTTAACGGTTTCAGTATTTGTTCTTTGTGTGTAGACCATTATCGGAAATTTAACGAAAAAATAGGTAAATATTACGGAACAAGTTCTGGAAAATTACTTACATCGTAGTGCAAACTACTAAAGCAGTGCTGAAATATTATTGAACCAGTATTGTAAAATTAGTAAAACCAGTGTAGTACAAATATTAAGGAAGTACATCTGGTAATTACTGAACAAGTTCCGCAAAATTATTATATATTTTATTAATTTCTAATTTGAATATACTGAAATCACAGATAAATTTTAGTTTAAAGAGATTGTTTCTTTCTCTCTCTAAATTCAAGAATAAAAAAGAAAAAAAAATTCTACGTAAATGAAGTCTCGCGTCCACTATATCTACTTGAATAAAACTACACCCGTGTTAGTATACACGTCCAGTTGTGTCGAGTAGTACATACATATATATATAAAAGCACCTCAGGGCACTCGTCGTTTTTGTCTTAGCTGTGCATTCCATGTTTTAGATGGCATCTGAGCGTCCCGTAACTCTCTCGTTGGTTATATATACTCAAAGGAATAAAGGAGCCCAGAAGTTGATGCCCTGCGGCATCCCTAACGGCTCAATGTAACTCTCTTTGGCACCTTTTTCATAAAGCGAAAAATAACTTCAGAATATGGAATTTTTACCTTGGAAATTCTGTCAGGATAACGATAACGATCGTTATAGACATATCTTTTGTAGAACATTTTTTCCTATATAAGATTTCTTTTTCTTCTTATCGTTTTTTTGGGTGAATATAAGGGGCGAGTTTGAAAAATTTCACATGCGTACAAATATATCGTATCGTTATACACACTGTAAATTTTAAAAAAATCATTCAACGAATTCATTAACCGTGAATTTTATGTGAATCTGATGAAAAATACAACAAAGGAGAGAGAGAGAATATTTTTAAAATAAGAAAAATTTCTTAAATTAAGAAAAAATTCTTAATTTAAGAACCTCCCTGAAGTTGACTTCGACGCTAAGCGGCGAAAATTGTTTTTCGCAGAATCAAAAATATCAAAACATTTTTTAAAAAGGTTTTTGGTCCACGCAATGCCTTGAGAAGTATTTTTCAAGTTGTTATTTGGATTGAAAAATTAAAAAAAAAATAATTTGAAATTTTTCATCCTGCGAAAAACAATTTTCGGCGCTGAGCGTCGAAGCCAACTTCAGGGAGGTATTTAAGAAATGTTTCTTATTTGAAGAATATTATATTCTAACTTTAAGAATAAAATGCATATGGGAAATATTCTTAAATAGGCGCCAAGAAGATATTCTTAAATTTAGAATATAGTTTTTTCAGTGTGTTTAATTAGCAGTTAAATGAGAAAAAATAATATTCCTATTTTTTTCAATTCAATATATCTATTAAATAAAATTCCCATAAAATTTGTCGAAAATAAGATAAAAATAGTTGTACCCAAGTAGAACATATGAATTTTTGTCAGACACTAGGCAACCGTGTATACATGTAAGAATTTTTCTAGCTTGTCTGACCAAATACGTACATTTTCTACTTAGGCAACTAAAGACCACATAAATCTTAAATCAATGCAGTTGATGATACATTAAGAATAAACTACACATGTAAAATATTTTTTTCTATTTAACCCCTTAACTGCGATGACGAAGATTTGACGCACAAAATTGTCGTCATCAGCAGTTAAGAGGTTAAAAAATAAAGAAATATGGATTTTTTTAAAATTGCATAACAAATTTTTGTTGCAGTTTTTATGGATTTTTTAAGATTTTAGGGAAAAAATGAGTTTTTTGGGAGGGCAAATTTTTTGTTAAAAATTTTAAAATTTCTGCAATTATTAATCTATTTTAATTGCACCTATGCTTATTTTCATTATTTTTTATTTGTAATACTTTTTTTCTTAGAAAATATTATGGAAAGTAAAAAATGTTAATAAATAATAATAAAAATAACGAAAACAATAATAATAATAATATTAAATGGAATTTAAAAAAAAAATTTTTTGTAAGAACCAAAAAATACTAAATGACCTTTTTAACATTAGTAGTGCTAATTTACAAGCCCTGAAAATTTGGTAAAAAAGGTGTCCTTTTTTAGAAAGAAAAAATTTTGTTTTCTTTTTTCAAAAAAATCTAATTATTTACAATCTGATGTATAAATAATATATATACAACCGAGATTATAAGAATGTATAATGTTAAACAACTGAAATTTATAATTACGAGGACAATTTCAGAATGTAAATTACGTAAACATAAGCGTACACGAGTGGATTCTCATTAAATTCTGGAATATGGGCTTATAGAATAATACAGAATATGCTTATAACTTCGAAGAGTAATGTACATATATACATGTCTCGTGAGTGCTATTATAGTAATCAAATGTACTTTAGTTCTATGACAGTGACGTTTATCTCCCAACAGCAGGTGACGTGTATTTCCCAATGGGAAATAGCCCACCCGTAACGATCAGAGCTTTGATGGTCTTTAGATTCAGCTAACAAGTATAATCGTCCATTGTAAATCAAATATATAGAAATTTTTCATTTTACTAAATTATTATTATAATCTTTCCTTTGTATTCGTTTTTATGACACTTTTTTCAATTTTTCCTTAAAATTGTCCTATTTTATGAGATTATTTTTATTTTAAATAAATTAAAAGTTTTTAGAATTTTTTATTTCTAATATTGTATTTAAAATTATTACATTATGCAGTATATAAAACATTAAAGAGTAATTTGGAAAAATCTCGCTCGCATGGGGAATCGAACCCAGGACCTTTGTGACACGAAACGTGTACTATATCCACACAGCCACATTAACTTACAGATATTTTACCTAATACATTCTTTTTAAATATTAAAAAGTACTACCTTTTGATTGTAATAACAAAATATTATTTTTAAATTTTTACATCTAATAATAGTTTATAATGTATATTAACATTTTTTAAATATTTCTAATGCAAATATTTCTTATTATTATTAATATTTTTTAA